TAAACCTGTATGCGCAAGAAAGGTGAGCATCTTACATGAGGGACACCGAAATCCTTAACCCCAGATAAATGCTTCTCAAATTTGCAAATTAGGCCAAGCCCTTTTTAGAGAAAAGAGCTTCCATACATTATTGTAAATTCTTGAGTAGATTTAAATCCTCTTTATTACATATCATTCTATAGTTACAACATAGATTAAATATTTGCATCCATTAAACTACCCATCAATTATTTGCCAAATCGGTCAATGACTTACTTTTATAAAGTGTAAAGTTTAAATAACTAAATTAAAAATTCATGAAAGGAGGGAGGTTGGGGTGTAGCACAGTGGTACACCACTTGTCTTGCATGTGCAAGCTCCTTATACTCAGCATTGAAAAAAAATTTACAGGAGAAAAATCGCCATGTTCTAATGAGCACATTTGTGCACTACCTCTCCCTCATTTAATCATTATCTACTTTTGTTCTCTCAATGTTTGGGAAAAATATCAAGAATCACTCATTTTGGAAGAACTTATCCTATTTTACCAAAGTAGCACAAAGGTAAAGAGCGATACTCCATTCATACATATAAGAAAGAAAAGAAGAAAAGAAATTCTGCGAGAGCTTGGTTGTAATGTAGAAAATGTCAGTCAAAACTTATGTTAATAGGCTGCTGGGATAAAGTTAAAATTGATTGGCTGTATTTCTGTTCAGAAAATGTACAACTATCAAATAGATAAGGAAACGTTTGTGTATAAGGGGCAGGAGACACAGTGGGCATACTGGCTGACTGAAGAAATGCCAGTCATAACCATTGCTCTTTCACATTTACTGCTCAACTCTAAGAATGTGTAGTCGAATTGCTCACCATATCTCTCAAAAATCATTGACATTACAATTCCCAGTAAGAAGTTACTAAGAAATGCAGATGAAAATAACTGTTAGTCATCAGTGGAGCCTTCACACTTCACTGAGAGGACAAGTGGGAAGATGGTCGCTGAATCACAGTATATTGTAAAACACCAAATAATGGATCACTATGTAATGACTAAGTGATCAACAATGCAGAGGCTTCCTGCAGGAAAAAGGGCTTCCAGGGTATGTGCCACTTATTACAGATTCCACTGAATAATCTTATGGATTAGTTCTTTGTGTAACATTTCAAATGTATCATCAAATCAAAACGAAAACAACCAGAAAGCACTGTATGTAATGGATACAAACACACCTACCCATTTTGGTTATACTTATAACAGTGTCTAGTGAAAATTGCAAGTACTCAACGTCTTGATGTGGTATGTAAAAAATAGTGCATACTTCTTGAGGGGGGGGGCTGGAACGGGCTCAGGGGTTAAGAGCACTGACTACTCTTACAAAGGATCTGGGTTCGATTCCCAGCACCCACATGGCGGCTATAAAACCATCTGTAACTCCAGTTCCAGGGGATCCAACGCCTTCTTCTGACCTCTGCAGGCACTGCACAACCCGGTGTACTTACACACATGAAGGCAATACACTCATACACATAAAATAAAATAATAAAAATTAAAAAGGATAGTGCATACTTTTTACATGATATAGTGAAATAGGATAGAGACATTCAGGAACATGTGGTATTGGGTCTAAATATGTGCCTGCCTGCTTTCCAAGGACTCCTAGAAAATTATCTGACCCTGCCCATCCCCAAAGATACCATGTCAGGGTACATACTATTAGTTTCACCAAAGACTGTCTCTTCTGTTTTCCTTGTGTAAAAACAGCCAACTGGCAGTGTCCTGGAGACAGTTAACATTGGCTCATGAAAGCAGATTGCATGTTTCTCCATGTTTGTGTTCAGTAACATCACACTGGTATCTTAAGTTGATGGTGGAATATTCTTGTCTCATAAACCAGCACACAAGTATACATCAGGGCTTTCTCTTCCCTACTCCCAAACTTCCATAATAAGCAGACTATTAATATTCATTAGCACACTTGTGAACCCCGAAGTGTATAGTCATTGTGCTCTAGGCTGTGCAACTTGCCAAAGGGACAAAAATGACCTAAACAGACCTAATTTTTGTTTCCTGAGATCTTAATCATCTTAGGTAGTCATCCTGCCTATCTCCATTTTTTCATGTTGTATCATTCTTTAAGCCACCTCTATTTTCTGTGCATGTGTATATGAGGGTGCATTCGTCTATTCATGCACACGTGGAGGCCAGAGGTCGACGTCGGGAGTCTTCCTTGATCAGGCTCCACCTTATTTTTTAAATTACATTTAAAACTAATTCATTTAGTGTATGTGCGGTATGTGTGTACATGCACATGTATGTGCCAGGTACATTGATTAGGGAGATAAGAGGACAATTTGCAATAGTTGGTTCTCTGTTTCCACTATGTGGGTCCCAGGGATTAAACTCAGGTCCTCAGGCTTAGTGGCAAGTGCCTATAACTCACTGAGCCATCTCACTGGACCATCTCTACCTTATTTTTTGAGACACAGTATCTCAATGACCCTAGAGCTTGTTGATTCTGCTAAATGAACTGGCCAGTAAGCCCTCAGAGGCACCTGTCTCTGCTCCCCACCACCCAGTGCTGGGGTGACAGATCCATTCTGCCATGCTCAGCTGTTATGTGTGTGGTGGGGATCCAAATTCAGATCTTCATGCTTGCACAAGCACTTTACCAACAAAGCTCTCCCCAGCCCATCTGTCATACCAGTTCTCTGTTTTTTAAAACTTTTAGCAAAATAAAACATTTTCAAGTTAGAAATATTCAAATTGCTGTCTATGTATCTCAGACTACTCTAAAAAGTACATTTTTTTTCAGTGTTTGCACACCATGATGCACCCTGAGGGTGACGATAATGGGGAGAGGTAGGTAGGAAACACTCAAAATTCTAGAATTGAGAGAAATACTTAAAACATTTAAATGGAAGGACTTGGTTTATGCAGCTCTCAGAGACTGTCTGCTATCTCTAGGGCAAGGCAAAGCAGTTCAAATGGACAGTGCCAGCTTGGCCTTCCCCTTTCTCTCCTCATCTTCTGGCTTTGCCCTATGACTATAAAGGAACCTCATGCATGAGTGTGGTAAAGAAAACAACTCTCCTCTTTGTTTTTGTTTGTTTTTTTAAGGACTTAGTATTTGAAAGTACAGGCCAGGTAAGCTAGGATTGTTTACTTATTGAATTTTAGAGAATGCTCATAAAAGTAGGCCAGTAAATGCTGGTAAGATGACTCTAGAATTTTGGAAATGTGGAAATGAAAAGCCTGGTCTACTCAGGTAGAAGTAATAGGACATGAACTCTGGTCATCTTCCTTTTACCTCACTGATTTCCCTCTTCCACAGGCTTATGAGACCTGGGTGGAAAGTACATATCCAGAAAATAAAATATATTAAATCATGCTCAGGTAATTGTCTTTTTGTAGAATCACATATTATAGCCTTCTGGTGTCCCTGTATGTATTTTTGGTCCAGTCCAGTCTATACCATAATCAGAGTGGTAACATCTGTGCACAGCTCTTCAGTAGCTTTGAACTGACCAGGATCCTTAATTTGTTAAAAGGCCTAGGTGTGATAAGAGAGGTTCCTTAATAGTCAAAGAACAAATTTTACTTTAAAGGTTCCATGTTCCTGCCTGCTCAGGGCCTTTGCATGTACCAGGCCCCATTTGCCTACAAGGAATTTCTTAACACTCTTTCCTGTCCATTCTTCAGGCTCGATCAAGACTTCCTCCCAAGATCTTAAAAGCTCCTTTCTTTTCTGCTTTTACACATTTTGTGCTTTATAAAACGATGATATATTGAGTATCAAGAGTAGAGGCAACAACTATAAAAGAGGAAAGAAGGCGCAGGCAAACTCCTAATGTGGAAAAATTCTGTACACTGGCAGTTTTCATTGTTCTATCCCAATATGGGTATTCTCTAAAATTTCTGATGGCAAAAGTTATTTTGTAAGAATTATTTTTCTTGGGGCTGGAGAGATGGCTCAGGGGTTAAGAAGTTAAGAACACTGACTGTTCTTGCAGAAGACCCAGGTTGAACCCAGCACCACATGGCAGTTAACAACTCTCTGTAACTCGAGTTCTAGGGGATCCTACAGCCTCTTCTGTCCTCAGCAGGCATTGCACGACATGGATGCACTTACCTGCATGCAGGTAAACACATGCATACACATTAAATAAAAATAATGAATAAAATATTTTTAAAAACAGAATTATTTTTCTTCTCCATTAAAAGAATTATCTGAATAAATTAACATTGGGACGATTAGCTGCAAAAGATTATGTACTTGTGAAATAACACAGAGGAATAAACAAGTAGAAAATGCAAGCGTTGTTATAAACTATAACTTCTCTTTCTGTAACCTTCAGATGCAAGTCTCAATAATTTAACAAAAATCAAAGAGCAAAATAAGATTACACTAATTCTCAGCTAGGTGTAAAAGACTGCTTAGAACACGCTCTATAGAGTGTGGCTTTTGGAAACTCAACATTTGAAAACGCAGAGACAAGTTATTCAGTTGGTATTTAAATCAATTTTGTGGATACTAGTTTAATAAGTTATTTCATTAGGCCAAGTAAATAAGTTTCTCTCTTTTCTAATGTAGACGAAACTGGTCTGGATGTTACAGAGACCAGCCTGCCTCTGCCTCCCCAGGTGCCGGGATTAAACACGTACAACACCACGCCAGGCTGGTAGAGTTTTTTCAACAGCAGAAAACTTCTTACTTCAAAGTCTAAGGTTAAGGGACCCAGCCTGAGATGCCTGCAGATTGACTAACCAGAAAACTGACCCCGCCTTACCCCGCCCCTGCTCCTCTCTAGCCCCTGCCCCCCTCTCCCCACCGTTCCGCCAGCCCCCACGCCGCAACCCCACCCCGAAAGCCGCCAGCCCCCAGCCTCGCCCCACTTACTGCGCAGGCGCAGAGTGACCCAGGACGTGGTGGAAGGTCTATCTTCATGTCCGCCTCCGAACTCTATGGTTCTCGTGGGGGCTGCTGGGTAACGGATATCGTCTTGGACTCCATCTTGCTGTTGCCGGTGTCCCCACGCAGAGGAGCCTCCTGCTGTAGCCATGGGTCGTCGCCCGGCTCGCTGCTACCGGTACTGTAAGAACAAGCCGTACCCCAAGTCTCGCTTCTGCCGTGGGGTCCCCGACGCGAAGATCCGCATCTTTGATCTGGGTCGGAAGAAGGCGAAGGTGGACGAGTTCCCGCTCTGTGGCCACATGGTGTCCGACGAGTACGAGCAGCTTTCCTCTGAAGCCCTGGAGGCCGCCCGCATCTGTGCCAACAAGTACATGGTGAAGAGCTGCGGCAAGGACGGCTTCCACATCCGGGTGCGGCTGCACCCCTTCCACGTGATCCGCATCAACAAGATGCTGTCCTGCGCTGGCGCGGACAGGCTTCAAACCGGGATGCGGGGCGCCTTCGGAAAACCCCAGGGCATGGTGGCCCGAGTGCACATCGGCCAGGTCATCATGTCCATCCGCACCAAGCCACAGAACAAGGAGTACGTGATCGAAGCCCTCCGCAGAGCCAAGTTCAAGTTCCCTGGCCGCCAGAAGATCCACATCTCCAAGAAGTGGGGCTTTACCAAGTTCAACATAGATAAATTCGAAGACGAGGTGGCAGCGAAGCGCCTCATCCCTGATGGTTGCGGAGTCAAGTACATCCCTGAGCACGGCCCTCTGGACAACTGGCGGGCTTGGCATTCCTGAGGACTTTGCCAGCAGAAGAGACATTCTGCACTTGACTGTAGCCAGAAGGCCAAGAAGCTATAGAAGAGACATTCTAATAACGTTTATATTTTGAAAATGTTAATTCAGTTTTTATACTATAGGATGTTAGTTGCATATTATAGAATGCTTTGGTGGAAAATACTTGTCTGCTTAAAGAAAACTGCGTATCAGAGCTATTGCTGTTTTGATCCATCTACTTTAAATTTATGTAATATACGTAAATACGGCAAATGTTAGTAAAGTCATAAATTATATTGTCGTTTTGGATCGAGTGACAAGAGAATATCCATGATGTGTACGAAAAATCCTTTGTATTCCAACTACAGCCTTGTTGAAACTAGCCTGTTTCTAAATTTGGCTGTTTGATATATATTTGTCGATATTATGTTCAAATTACCTGTAGCCTCTGATTATCAGTTTGAGAGCAATTGGGTATACTGTAAAAGGATTTTCTAGACAAGCCTTACAATGTCTCACACTCAGGAGACAACATCCAATCTTTTCTTCATCACAGAAAGGTCATAGGTGACAAAAGAGTTATTATTGCTTGTATTTGGGTCCCAGTAGAATCAACAGAAAAAAGAAAATGACACTAAATCAGCTATCTGCTCCGGAGGGACCTTGGATAGCATTTGTAATCTGTGATGTTTGCCTTACATTGGAGTTACATTGATCCCAGGGGTGATTTTTATTTTGGAAAAGACAACGTAAAATGACTGGGTTTGTACTGTTCCTGTCCTTTGATTTAAATTTCTGAATCTCTGTCTTGGAAACAGTGCCTTCAGTTTTCCTATGCTAATTACTCATTTTCAAAGTCAACATATTATTAAAAACATGAGTATTGAACAGCATAGATGGCATTGCTTGTTAATGGTTTGCATTTATGTAAATTTTTGTCAGTCTTAAGATACTGCATCTGACTTGGTAATTCAGCTTGTCCCTATAAGTTACTTGTGTGATTTCATGCTTGGTTGCCATTTTAGGCTTTAACAATATTCATGTTATAAATGAGGTTGAAGAAGATAATTCTTAACAAATAATGACATGAGTATATTAATAAAAGGGCTCTCCATAAAAAGTATTTTTTTGATATTTTACTTGATGCGTTGAAAACCCTTAAAATTGTCTAGGAAATTCGGTCATATGCTTAATAAATACAGACTTTAGCCAGATCTTTTGACTCCTGTCCAGTTGTTTTTGAATTTTGCTATACTGTCTAAAAAACCAACAATGCTTTTAAAAATGCAAAAGAAGACACCAGGATATAAGCTCTTAGTGGCCATATTTTCCATCTTTGCTATTCATTGTTTCAAACCTCTCAAAATCATACCATGGTCTGGAGGTCAGAGGACAGCTAGTGAAAGCCAGTTCTCTCCTCACACTATGTGGGTTCTGGGGATCCAACTCAGGCTTGGTGGTAAGTACCTTCACTTGCTGTGCCATCTCACCAGCCCCTCTCCGGCTTAATCTGAGACTTGGAAGTCTACTTTCATTAAAGGTACAAGTTTATCCCTTAACTAAGGAATACACATTTTTGTTTTGACTTTAGGAGGTTGGTAGAGAGCTATAACTCGGTGATAACATGTCTAGTATGTGCAATCTCTTGAGTTGGATCTCCAGCATCACACACGCACAAAAATACAAAAGAAAATAGTTTTAAAATTATCTTTAAAATGGTGGGTAGCTGGACATGGTAACACACGTCTTTGATCCCAGCACTTGGGAGGCAGAGGCAGGTGTATTTCTGAGAGATTGAGGCCAGCCTGGTCTATATAGTGAGTTCCAGGCCTGCTGTGAGGCCTGAGGTGGGTGTCAGTAGGTTTCAGGAGAAAGGGCTTGTGTGAGTGTGTGTGTGTACAGCACATGTGCACATGCATGTGGAGACCAGAGGTCAACCTTAGATCCTGAGGAGCTATATTTTTTTCTCTGTATAAGCATGTTTGTTCCTCTGGATATACATGCACGTATATGCCCATGCAGGTGGAGGCCTGAAGTTGATGGGTGTCTTTCTGGGTATGACTGAACCCACCGCTCACCAATTCCTGCTACTTCAGCTAGCTGGCTTGCCCCAGGGATCCCCTGACTGCCTCCTGAGCATTGGGATTATAAGCAGCTGCCAAACCCATTAGGCTTTTATATGGGTTCAGGAATCCACAATTCCATCTCTGGTCCTCATGCTTGTACAGCAAGTACTTAGACACTAAGCTCAGACCGTGTTTTTTGAGACAGTTTCTCACTGGGATATGGAACTTCTTGAGTAGGATAGGCTGGGAGATGGCTCAACAGCTAGTAACAGTTGCTGCTCTTCCAGAAGACCTGGGTTCAGTTTCCAACAGCCACACTGAGCAGCTCACAACCACCTCTGACTCCAGCGCCAGGGTATCTGCTGCTCTTCTCTGGCCTCCGTGAGTACCCACACTTGCGCATACCCATTCACATGGAAACATACATATAACTTTTTTTTAAGTCTTTAATTTTTTTTTAACCAAATAGTATAGAAGAATAGTACATTCTGGAGAGATGGCTCAGCAGTTAAGAACACTGGTTGTTCTTGCAGAAGACCCGGGTTCAAATCCCAGCACCCACATGGCAGCTAACAACTGTCATAACTACAGTTTCAGGTAATCTGACGGCTTCTTCTGTCCTCTGCAGGCATTACATGACACGGGTGCACTAACACACATGCAGGCAATACACTCATACCCATAAAATAAAAATAATAAAATATTTTTTTTTAAAAAGTTAAGCTACAGCTTCAGTTATAAATCAAACTAATTTTGTATTTAATGGTAGGTAGGAAGAAAAGTTCTGGTGTCAGGACAGCTACAATGGAATAGTAGTTTCTTCACTACCTTGGGCAATTTATGACTGATAGCTGAATCTTCAAGATGAACTGGATGCTGTAACAGCTGCCCTCTTGGGTTTCCGTGTTGTCCTTCATGGAATCCATGTCTGAATCTGAGATAGACAGTTTCCAGGTGCCTCATCAGTCCACTCCTGGTAGTATTTCAACTCAGCCTTGGTACTCCCATTATACTTTCTCTTGCCCTTGTCAGGGCAGTCACATTTACCACAGATCTACTTCTGAAGGTGGTAAGCCTTAGAGTTACAGGCAGTAAAAAGTGCATCTTATTGAAGCTTGCCATACAATGACACTCCTTTGGCAGAGGCCCTGGGTCTGCAGTTCGGCCCAGCACTATGGAGACCTTCTCCTGGCTCTAGCAGGCCTCTGCCCGCTCCTTTCCTCCCTGTTGGCTCCCCTTATCCAAAACCTCGCTAGCCATCCACCAACAGCATGCAGGGTAGCTCAGCAATTTACCTTGTATTATCTTTTTTAAAAGATTTCATGACCTTAATGTTCTGTGTCCCAGCCATAACCCCCTTGATTTAAATAGATTTTCATGTTTTACAAGTCCATTCAATATTTGGTTTCAGGATTTTGTTATTTTTTGTATGTATTTGTTATTATTTGTTTTGTTATTTTATTTTGTTATCTTTAATTTTTAAATTATATGCTTAATTTTATTCTGCTTTCTATATTTAGAGTTCTGAAAAGCATGTACCAAATATATTCTACACATGAACCAGATGTGGGGATTTGCTTTATCCTCTCCACACACAGATTTTTATGCACTATTTATTTATTACTGAATTACTTCTCATTTTATTTTCAGAAGTGTAATTATCTGACTATTATATTACCACTTTAATGATTCTTATTAGGATGTAGACTTTTTTCCCAGACCTTCTGTCTCATTTGAAAGACTGAGAATGAGTCTAGTTACTCTTTCACAAGGTTTTTGTCATTTTTCATTTCGTCTTCTCTCTCGGGGCTACAGTTAAGGATTGATTTTTGCAGCATGTCTACTTTGCAATGGCCTGGGGATGAGAAGATGAGGAAAGGACAAAATCTGATGGATGCCAGGTAGGAACTCTGGAGATGCCATTGGACATCCTGTGCTAAAACCCAAGTCAGCTCAGTCAGATGTGTAGTCTGAACTCCTAGATGTGGCAAGATTTTTATTCTTGGTTGTGGTTTTTGATCCTTCGTTGTGGAAAGGATATCTTTTGATATCCTAGATGAGGAACTACCCTTTCCATCTCTGATGAGGTGCAGACAGGACATTGATTGTCAAGAAATAACAATTTTATTTTGCCTGAATATTGGAGTCACTGAATGAAATCCAAAACAAACCAAAACAACAAACAAGACTTGAGGCTGGTGGAGGTCACAAGAAGTGGCAGGACTGAAAGTTCTTTCATCCTCAGGTTCTGGCATTTAAAAGATAAGATTTAAATGTCCTGTGGATACGACCATGGCTTTTATGTTATGGTGTTTGTATTAGTTACTTTTCTGATGCTGTGAAACACCATAAACCAAGAAAACCTATAAAAGAAAGAGTTTATTTATTTTTCGATTCCAAATGGGCAAGAGTCATTTCATCATGCTGGTAGGCATAGAGGCAGAGGTGGCTAAAGGAGGAGAGAGTTCACGTCTTCAAGCTGGCATAGGAAGCAGAGAGCAGTTCGAGATCCAGCAAGAATTAAGACTTAAGCCCACCCCCAATGACATGCTTCCTCCAGCATGGCCACACCTTCTAAGGCCTCCTAAAACATCACCACCAACTGGGGACAAAATGTCCAAATTATTGGAGCCTATGGAGGACATTCTCATTCAAACAACTACAGTGTTTTAAGTTGAAGTAGTATAGTTAGTTCTGAGCACTATTTTCCAAGAACATTGACTACTAAATCACAGGGTCAAAGCATCAAGACACTATCTGGGGTATTTACTTTATGATGCTAGCTGAAGGCAGAGAATGAAAGAGCCACTTAACTATGTTTTCCTTAATGGGTTTGGAGAGAGATAGAAGGTACTACAGAACCCTCTAAAGAGATGACAGACAGACCTCTAAAATGTCAGCATTTGGCTACAAGTACATGGAAGTGAAATGGTCGTCAGAGCTATAAATATAACCGATTTCAAGTGAAAAGGAACTTGCCTCCTGTAACTTGGAATCATTTAACAAAGAATATTGTCTGCACTTCTTACATCCTGTTGTCAATACTCTAAATCAAAGGATGAAAGAGGAAAAAAATTCAGAAAAATAAGGAAGAAGATAATTTCCCTTTCTTTGCTCTAAGTAGCTGAAACCATAAGTCCGGGAGTATATTAATATAACAGATGACAGATTTGAGTGGCTGAGTAACAATTTTGATAATTAAGGATGATAGAAAAGCTACGGGAGAAGGCTGAGGTACCATTAAGGAAATGTACTGATAAAAGCAATAGAATTTCAATGGACCGCAGTTGGTAGTTATTCCAGGAAAATAAAATTTTCACATCAATTTCTGTCATCAAACTTGTTATATAACCATTTTGATGAAAATATTTCACAAATAATCCCAGCAAATGTCCAAATTACTAAAATTTGGAAGCTTATTGAAATTTCAGAAAAATAAAAGCTTACTGAACCCAAAGAAACTTCTATAACACTTTCTGAAAAAAAAAAAAAACTCAACAGGCTCCTTTATGCTTCTTCTTATATAAATGCATTAAGTCTGAGCAAATTTTAAATCCTCTCACCGAAATTTACATTAATGTGGTTCTAGTCAACTTCTGAACCTCTGTGTGCACATAAGTATAAATGCCAGTGTCTAAATAGGATACTATTATGAAAGACAGTTATAAGGTAACAAATAAGGACAAGAAGGGTATAGCAGAGCAATTCACATCATGGTGATCCAGGAAGCAGACAAAGGGGAATGTGGCGCTAGGTTCACTGTCTCCATTCTCTCCTCTTCACACCACCAGGGCTCCCAATCTGTGGCATGAGTTTCCCACATTCAGGGTGACTCTTCCTTCTTCCATCAATCCTCCCTGCAAGTGCCTTCACAGACACTTCCGTAGGTGTATTTCACTAATCTCTCAGGTGATTCTATATCTCCTCAAGCTGATCAGATTAATCAGGACCAAATATTAAATTGTCTTCCATCTCATCAGTAGGGATTTGATTTGCATATGGAATGTTCAAATTTATACTACTAATTCTTCAATTTTCAAGACAATTTTTGAAATACAATTGACAAAATTTATTACTAATTAAAATGGTATTTTCACAATTTTATGCTCTAAACAAATTTAAATGATAGAAATTTATC